GATGATGAGCTTGTGTACAACATCCACTTAGCTGTCAATTTCCTGGTGTCATTGCTCAAAAAGAACTGGCAGAATGTCCGAGCTTTATATATCAAGAGCACCATGGGAAAGCCCCAGCGCCTGTACTAAGGCAGAGCTTAATAAACCGCAGTGCTACCATTACCTGTCTGCCTGTGACTTGGGGATGGGGGGAGGTGTTTTGTGAGCTGACGTCCATGCCACAGCACAGTGATGGGTAGTCGTTTTATTCATACAGCAAACTAGGAAAGGCATTCTTAACTGCCTTCAAAACTGAGCAGTCTTACTGCAATCTCCTTGATATTTATAATGTGATGGTAGGGCTGCTGGCTGCTAACCAGGACAGGCTTTTCTGATAACCATGGGAGGAGCAGATCAGGGCTAGGACTCCAGCTGCTTACTAGTAAAGAGTTAGGAGCTTCACATTGAGAACATTGACTCTCACCCCTTGGCAGGATGCTTAATGTATAGCCTTACGTTGCTTCCCTGTATGCTGGGGGTGGGGGAGGGTGGGGGGGAATTGGGGGATGGGAACAGACAAGTTGCTGTCCTTTTGTTCTTCAGTCTGGTTGTGGAGAACGTTGCTTCACTGGCCTAAGTTGGCACCATCATTGTACTCTTCCCGGGCGAGGCAGATCAGTCACTGGCTTCAGGACGGCCGCTCACGCTGGCTGCTGGATACACACGGTAGCCCATGGCAGCCCAGCTCCAGGGTGAGCTGTTGTTCAGCATCTGAGCTGTAGAGGGCAGTGTCACTGGCCCTCATATGTGGGATCCAAACTGAGGCCCTCTGGCATCCCAAGCCAGCTCTGAACCAACGCGCCATTCGGCTGGCCCTGCTGGGGGTTCTTAATGTGGGCTATTTTTTGTCCCCAATCCCTCTAAATCATGCATTTGGGGTCTTGGTCTGAAAGGATCACAGTTATTGGGTTCTCGGAAGAGTCATGACGCATTTTTACAACAAAAAACGTCATGACTTTTTCTGACAACCTAATATTACAAATGGAATTTGGGTACCGAGGTGCTATTAATGGGAGTGGTCCACAAACCTTGAGAAATTGGTCTAGTATTTGCTTGCCTGACCCCAAATTGAATATGTTTAGGGTAGAATTTACTGGGTAATATGTTCTGAAAAATACAAGTAGACCTGTGCAATATTGTGATGGACTGTTGATTTTTATTTATTTTTTAACTGAGCAATCCTGCCATCTGTTGGCTGCTCAGCGACAGCTCAGCTTGGGCTGGACTCGAACCACTGTTCAGAGCTCTTAACCAACTGAGCTATTTAGCCGGCCCTCCTATTGATTTTTTATAGGGGAGCAAATGGGTGCATTCAGGCTGTGGAAATTTCCAGGCCCTTTATGCCCTCCCTGTCCCAGCAGGCTGTCCCCAACCTGAGGACTTCCCTGTTGTAGTATTGCCTCCAGTGCTAGACACTGCAAAAGTGCATTTTCACATAGTGGGACATAACCTGTGATTTAACCTTTGTCTTGAATCTGCTTCATCTAACTTCGCTAAATGAAACAGTTTGTCCCTCTGGTTATTTTTAATAGAGCTGAAAGGCTAATCCAAAGCATAAATAAGAATGCTGTACGTTCTCAAAACAAGCATTATCTGTCCTTGAACTGTGAAGAATAGACAAGGTTCTCACCAAAGACCTTGAGCATTTTTTGCCATTTTAGTTCTTAACTGCAGGTGAAATAGCTATACCAATCTGATGAGCACTGAATTTTGGCCTCAAGGTAGGTCTAGCTTGGTCTTTCCACTGGTCCATTACATTAGAAAGGAGTTAATAGGCTTGTTGAACAATGTTCCCTTACCTAAAAAAAAAAAAGCTGGCTATAAAATTAGGACCCAATTTTGTTGAAATGTTTATGCATGATAAAAATGATTAGAAGCTTACATAAAATTGACCATGTTTGGAGTTAAATGATATTTATTTGGGATTTTCTTAAGTTCTACAATGTTTGTAATGAAGAAAAAGGCAATGCTTAAAATAGGGCGACAAAATCTATGGTGATTTGATAACTAGAATGGAATACAAAAAATGATTTACAAGTCAATATTTTATGCTTTGTCTCTGCCACAAAGCTGCTTACAAGGCACTGAGTACAGTTAAGAGAAAATGGCATGAGAGCTACGAGGCAAAAAGGTTCAACACTGAAGTCCCATGTGCTAAGGTGGGCCCCAGCTGTTCCTGGTGGCTGCTCCCAAGGTCCTTGGTGGGCACACGGGTGCAAACCACCACCTCTCAGCCTCGTATCAGAAAGACATTTGTTTGCACCAGCAGTGGTGCTGTCATGAGCCGTGTCAGTGCAGCTGAGGGTTTCAGAGGTTTCTCATGACCTCAGATACATAATTTGTTGGGTGCAAGACCAGCCATGTGATTTCCTGTGGGCTAAGGGTCACCCCACTGCCTGAATTTGATCCCAGCTCTGCCACTTGGGAGCCATGTGAGCCTATTCAGTGAGTGTTAACTTCTCTAACGGTTTTCTGTCTGAAAGTACCTACCTACCTAAAAGACAGCACTTAGTACTCAAAACAGCAGTGATGAAATGGTAATTACACGTAGCCACATACACTTAAACGCACTGGACCTGGTGCACAAATCAGCCAGGTTTAGGACAGATTGAGTGGAGGCAATCCTGAGGACACCTCATCAATGACACTGATGGACCAAGAGCAGGGTGCCTTCAAAGTCAGTCACACCCTCCTGTCGGAAATGAGCCAAGGATTAAAATCCTTCGATAGTTTTGGAAACTAAGGCAAGGTAAATGGGTATGTTTTAGAATACTTGGGAGCTTGAGTCTTTGTACATTATTGATTTGAATCACCTAAATTTAAGTCAGACCTACTCCACTTGATAAATCTATTGAGCTTTATGTACTGGGGTAGGAGTCCAAAAAACCAACTCTGTTAAATACTGACACCACTTTCTGCTGGGCTCTGGGGAATCTTTAGAGCCATGCCTAAGGACCACAGCACCTCAGAGAAAAGGAAAGCGGAGGCAGCAGAATGAGGAAGCAAGAGAACACAAGGGGACAGGCTGGTTCTATTGTAAATAAGGGTTGAGCTATTTTAACTGAATCCCAGTCTCTAGGATGATTAGTCGAAAGCTTAGTGTGAGGGCCGGCCGAGTGGCTCAGTTGGTTAAGAGCTCGCTCAAGAGTTTGAGCTCTGAGCAACAGCGGTTCGAGTCCAGCCCGAGCTGAGCAGCCGCTGAGCTGCCAACAGGTGGCAGGATGGCTCAGCTAAAAAAAAAAAATAAAGAAAGCTTAGTGTGCACCTGAGTTAGAATTCAGGGTTCAGATATCTGGGGAGCCCCAGTTCTCCAGCAGTTGTGCTGCAGGGAAATAAAGAGCTCTCATGAACCCCCAAGGACAGTGCTCTGCCTTGACCGTGGAATTGACAAGATGGCACTGCTCACTTTTCCCCAGGGAACATCCGAGAAACGGGCAGGAGAGAACTACAGGCCCCCTTTGGGCTCCAGCTTTGGCCCTTCTGTACAGCTTCCCACGGCACCCTGAGCAGGGAGAGCCACTTCCAGACCAGCCCTGAGCCCCGGGCTTTGGGGTCCCAAGCACCTTCTTATCCTGGTTCCTTCCCTGCTTTGGAATCTCGGAACTGATCATCACCCACTTCTGGATCTGTTATATTTGTGGTTGAGGGCAACGGGATAGAGCAAGGAGGTCAGCCACATTTCACTCTGAATTTCCTGGATGAGATGAGATGTACATTATTCTAAAAGAGATTACCTGAGGCTGATTACTCCAGGAGAGTGGGGAAGGCAACAGCCCACGTGAGGATGCTTCAAGCACCCAATAGATGTAATCACCTATTAGTGCAGATTGGATTTTGCATCCAGCCCTAGGCATTGGCACATGGTGGATCCTTCAGAAACAAATTTCTGCCTCCAGAAACCCCTTCCACCTGGTTGGCACTCCAGGTACCCTACCCATCCTCCAAGTGACAGTCTGGGGTCTCTCCCATGCAGTGGACCAAAACAAAGCCCACCTCATTATTTAAATAGTTTATCAGGTGCATGGACTTGGGAGTCAGGCAGACCAGGTTCAAATCCTGGTGTTGCTACTGATTGGCTGAGTGAGGAGAGCATTTAACCTGTCTGTTTCCCCATCTGCAAAATTGGAAGTTGAACCAGAAATGATCTAGAAGAGTTGATTCTAGAGTAGGGTTGTCAGATAGCAAATGAAAATAGAGGATGCCTGGTTATTTCAGATAGATAACGCATGTCCACTGAGGGTACCGTCTCCCCACCCCCAACTCTGTGAGCACAAGATGGCTCAGAGGGCAGAGCAAGGAGCAGGGTGTCCGGCTTCCCCTGCTAGCAGCCATCCGCTTGGGAGAGCTCTCGTCCTTCTTGAGGCTTTCTCATGAGTAGGACGGGATGGTGAGAACAATAGTAGCCACTGTGAAGATGGGCTTTAGCAAGGGGCCCATCTCAGTAGTTGTGTGACCTTGGCAATAGAAAGCTCAGGGCAGCACCGCACAGTTCAGTGCTCATGTCTGGCAGGAGGGGCTTGGGGAAAGGTTGGGGTTGGAAAGCTTTCATGGGACCCTTGAATCATAGCTGTGTTGGGTATGGGTAGGGCTTCGGGCTCCAGCAAATCCAAGGTGGGGTGGGTTGACACACCAGGACCTAACTTAGGGGAAGCGTCCCCCTGAAGCTGTTCCAATCCAGAGGTCTGGCACACAACTGGTCACACGACTAACCCACAAACAAATAACTTTAATTTTTTTTTTCTTTTTTCTTTTTGAGTAGGAACTGGGCCTTGAGGGCGCCTGCCCCAGCCCCGCGCCACATTTATGATATAACCCATCACAGCTGGATTTAAAAAATACACAAAAAATATATAATATACATTATAAAACCTAGGTTGGGCTTGGAGGTGGCCTGAGCGATACGCACGGTGAGGACCTTCAGGAAGCTCGGGCAGGGTGGGGCGGGTTAGGAAGGGAAGTGGCACAGTACTTCATATGAAACATAAATACCCAGGGGCGGCTGGTGGACAGGCCAAGCCAGCGGAGGGGCCTGGGTGTTGGGACGGGGCAGCCGGAGAAGGGTTAACCTTCAGTCCTAGAACTGGGCCTGGGACCTGCTGCTCCAGGCAGGGAGGCTGACGTGGGGAAGGACAGAAGGGAGTGGCGCCCACCAAGGGTTCACCAAACCCAAGTCTTGGGCAAGAGAAAATATCGAAGCTTTTTGCTGCCCGCTGTCCCCAGGCCACTGGTATGCCCAGAGGCTGGGACTCCATTTTCCTCCCTGACCCCCCAGCCTCTCTCTGAGGCTGGCTTGCTCCCTGGGGCCTTCTTCCATCAGGAGGCTGCTGGGGCGTTAGGCCAAGGATCTGGGCAAGGGCAGCGTGGGGGAGGTGGGCGCAGGGGGCTCCTTCCGCCCCTAGCTGGATTGCTGGCTGATAGAGGGCGCCCAACAGGTGCCGAGTGAGTACCTGCTGCTTCCTTTCCGGCCTGATCAGAAGCAGCTGCTCCCGAGCCAGGGGCCCCCCAGCCCAGCAGGCCCCAGCCTCTCAGCACAGAGCCCCTCTCCCACCCCCTGGGACCCGTCCTGCTGCAGGGAGGTAGTGTAAACCTGGGCTCTGGGGACAGGCGGCCCTGGGTGAGAATTCCCACTCTGCCCATCACCCCCACGGGTTCCTCAGCACCTCATCTGAGACACTGAGACCCACGCTTGCCTTGCAGGGTCTAAGGATGGCATGAAGCCTGCAAGGCGCCTGGCACACAGCAGATGGAAAGGAAGTGTGGGCCCCTCTCTCTTCTCAACCCAACTGCAACTTGACATGCTCCTTCCTGGGCTCTCTCCTCGGCCTCCCCTCCACTCGACATTTACCCACCGTCACACTCCCCTGAGGGGCCAGTGGCCACACACCCCTGAGCCCAAAGGTGTCCTCCCATTCCTTCGAGGCTGGGCAGAACCAGGTGATGGTGGCGCGGTGTCGCAGCCAGGCTGCCCCACGGCTGAGCCTCCCCCTCTCTTCTCCCACAATTAAAGCGCAGAACAGTGACAGGGAGTGTGTGTGCTGGGGTAGGTGGGGAGGCCTCCTGGGTCCTGGGTCTGAGGCCTGGCAGGCAGATGAATCCTCAATCCTGGACCCCCGGGGGTGCCAGGCAGGTGTGTGAAGATGCTCGTCCTGGATCCTGCTGGTAGGGCCAGAGGGCACCCTAGTCTTTGACAAGCTTGTAGACGTGGTGCTGGGCCCCATGCTCGCTGGTGGAGACTTCAAAGACGAAAGCAATGACGAGCAGGGTCTCCTGGGAGTCACGGCTTGTGACCACCTGGCAGCAGGGCAGGAAGATTCAGGAGGTCAGGCAGCACAGGGCCGCGGGGTGTGGAGGCTGAGCAGACCCTTTCCGGGCTCAGTCTCTTCCTCTGAGCGATGGGTCCGGCCACTCCCACTTTGAGGCCCTTGTGCCTGGCACCCTCCCGGGACCCCCACAACGCCTGCGCCCCCCCCACACCTGCAGGATGGTGAAGTTCTCCAGGACACTGTTCATCATGTACTTCTCAGGCAGGTGTTTCAGCTTGTGGATGAAGTTGATCATGTACTCGCACATGGGTGAGCGGTGGATGCGGTACACAAAGCGCCCATTCTCTAGCCTGGCGTACTCGGTCTGCGGGAGCCGAGGAGAAGGCATCACTCTGCCCGCCTGCCCCGGGTCCCCACCCCCACCCCACCTCCACGGCCTCAGGCCCCCACTCACCTCCACCTTCTCCACCACCTGCTTGCCAAAGGAGCACACCTTGGTGGAGACACTGATGGTCATGCTATCGGCTGAGCTGTACTGGGAGCTGACCCCATAGAAGGCTCCCGGGCCCTCCTGGATAGTGCTGTTGAGGTCGGCCTGGAGGAGGGGGCGGGGGTGGCATTAGGTGCTGGAGAGGCCAGAGGGAGGCTTCCTGCCATGACACCTCAGCGTCCTGCCGAAGGATGCATCTCTGGCACTCTGCCTACAGGCCACGGGGAAAGCGGTGGCCAGCAGGGTGGGGTGAGAGCCACAACCGGGGGTTGGGGAGGGGTGGGGGGTGTGTGTGCTTGGGAGCAGGGAGGGACCGGGGCAGCTCACCCAGAACTTGACGAGGAAGAAGGCATTAGGGGGCCCCTTCTCATAGAGCTCCTTCAGTCCACCCTTTTTCTCGGGAAACTTGTCATAGATCTGACGCACATCGACTGCCTCCAGGGGTGGGTCTGAGAAGGCGGGGTTCGTCTGGCCGATGTGCACAAACAGGTGTTTGCTGTACTGTGGGGAGGGCCCAGTACCGGGTCAGGAGAGCACTCAAATGCGCGGGCCCAGGGGGGCTGCACTGGGGCAGAACAGCCCCATGGCTTTCCAACCCCATGACCCCGAACTGCAATCCTGGACCACCATGTGGGGTCTCCCCACAACCGGACCAACCATTACCCCGCTCCCAAACACATTACCGTGTCAGGGTCTCGCTGCACCTCCACAAAGGCGGAATACTCGAGGAGCCGCAGCCGGGAGGAGGCAATGGTGCGGTCCTGCCACACGGGCACGGAGGCAGCAGCTGGGGGGGGTGGGGCCAGGGGCTCGTAACCTGGAGGACAAGACTGGCAGTCATCTGAGTGCACTTCGTTAGGCACTTGGTTACGTACAGAAATGCTCCAGCCTCCATGGAAAAATAAAATTACCCAGAATCCCACAACCTCCATAGAGTGAAACTCATGATTTTTGTGTATTTCCTTACGAGGAATTTTATATACATACAGTATATAATGGTAATACTTTTGGTGGTGTGTCCTTACAGCAGAGATCTGGAAGCAACATCGTAAAAGGTAAGGAGGCTATTCCTGGTCTTCCCCAACCCCCTATAGATGCCACCCACTCCTCCCTCCAAACACACACACACACACACACACACACACACACACACACACACACACACACACACACACACGGGCCCCAGCTCTTCAAAGCAGAGGGACAGGTGCGGCGGCAGCCTCATGGGAACTTACTGCTGAGCGTCGGCGGCAGGGGCGGCTGGATGGGGTAGGCTGGCTGTGCGAAGGGCTTGATGCTGCAGACAGGAGCACAGCCTGGTTAGAGGGTTACCCCTTTGCCCACGTTCCACCTGGCCCAGTCAAGTTGGGGTCTCATCCGGGATCCCCATAGGGAGCTACCCAGTCTTTCCGTGGAGGCCCAGAAATGCATGCTGACAAGCTAACTCACGAGCTTTTTGTTTTCTTCTCATTTTAACTTTTGTGAAATCCTGCTGCATCTCACAACTGATGTGCACATTTAATGTAGCATTTCAACCCCACCCTGAAGAGCTGTTCATCAAATTGAGGGTGTGTCTCACGATGAAAGTCATCTTAGAACTGAAGGAACTGAGTACACTCAACAACCTGACTCATTGACTAAGAGATTGATTTGGAGATTAACTGAGTGAAAAATAATTGAAAGACAGCTGACAAGTGGATGAGTGGGTTGCTGAATGAACAAACACATGAATGAATAGACAGATGCATTAGCTCTTTTACTGGAGCTCTCCATCTGTTTCTGAATTAAAACTTTGCTCAGCTGTTGTTGGAACCCAGATGGGAGGGTAAGTTTAGTGTGGCTGCCAAGAGTATGGGAAAGGTGCACCACAATACTCACTCCTGAGAGGGTCCAGGCTGCTGTCCCAGGAGAGGGGGGCTGCTCCAGAACTGCAGACAGGACAAAGTCCAGGGCCCCTCAGTATCCACGCCCCTCACCACTGCCCGGCCCTGAAGGCATCCCCTCACCCAGCCCCTCATCCCAGGACCCCTATACCCGTGAGGAAGTGGAGAAGACGGCCTGGGGCAGAGGGGAGGGTGGGCTGAACTTGTTCTGTAGGACACTGGCGGAGACAATCTGGGCGGAGGACATGGACGCCATGCTCTGGAGGGCTTTGTCCTTGGAGACCTGGTCCTGGAGAGGGGCGGGGGTCATGTGAGGCCTGGGCCAGGCCAGAGACAGGACAAGGACCTGCCCCAGGACCCGGCTCCCAGGTTCTCAGGGCTCTGGGGAGTATAGGACGATTACAGACCCCAGTTCTGCTATGTGGACTATGGAGTTAGTCCCTCTCTGGGCCTGTCTCCTAAGTGTACATCACCCCTCTGACCACAATCCACAGTAAGAAATAATTTTTATTCCGTAACTCAGTATGAACACCAAAATATTTCGCCTTGGTTTTTTTGTGTGCATGTCATGTACTGTCATATTTTCTATTCTATTTCATCAGTGGTTCTCAAAGTATGGTTTGTGGACCAAGAGCACCACATCGCCTGGAAGATTGTTAGAAATGCAGTTTCTCAGGCCCCTGCTCAGCCCTACTGAATCAGAAACTCTGAGCGTGAGGTCCCAAAATCTGTCTTCATAAGCCCTCCAGGTGATTCTAATGCAAACTAAAGTTTGAGGACCAACCATTATACTTCATTTTTAAAAAACTGTTTGCAAACCTATTAAATTGATTTACAGTCCGTAATTTGAAAATCTTATATTAGATGTTCTCCCCCCAACTCTCCCCAGTGGCGGGGCAGTGCTACTTACCAGGTTCATGGCCTGTGAAGGAGAGGGAGAATGGATTAGAAGAGGCACAAATGAAGGCTATATGGGGCGACGGGGACGTGTCTTTTCACTTCCCTCCATTCAATGCCCACCTGGCTCTCAGCTTCCAAGGAGCCCAGGGAAGCACAGAGGCAGCTGTGGACCTTCCCCCTGCCCCACTGCCACCCAGAGGGAGTGCTTGCCCGCTGGGGGTGCCCTGGATAGGGTAGGATGACAGAGGACAGGCTGGAGACCTAGATGGTGGACCAAGATGGTGCCCCTTGGTCTGTCCATGTCCTCTGGAGCTGTGCTATAGGCATAGAGCACTGGTATGTGAGGCCCAGTCTGCTGGGCAGCTATGGGCAGGGAGAAGATGCAGCTTACAGGGGCCCTAACAAGGGCCCAGGCCATGAACCCCAGGCTCTGAGATCCTCAGTCACAGAGCAGCCAGGATTGAGTGTCCAATGCGAGGAACAGCCATGCCAGCCGCAATAGCTTTGGCAGCCAATACCCTCCAGTGTCTCTTCCCTGCCCACCTGAAGTCCCCATGCAATTAGCAAGGCACAATTAGGAGGAAGGAGAAAAAGGAAAATGGAGAAGAAGAGAGGTGGGCCTTAGTGGTCCCTAGATGGTCTTCCTCTCCCTCACTGAAGGGCTTGCTGTCCCCTTGGGCTCCTGCTCAGTCTCCAGGGGCTGTGGCCCTGTGCAGCCTGACGCAGCCTCTGGGCTGCTCGCCGCTGCTTGTGTTTCTGAGACGCTTCCACCCCCAGTAGCTGCTCAGCCCCTTCCCTGACCCAGGCTGGGGTCAGACAGCAGCAACAAGCCTGGGCTGGCTAGGCCAAGTGGCAAGGGACGTCATACCTTCAGCTTGGACTGAATCTCCCGAGATTTCCGCCTGGCTAGAACCTGCAAGTGGCTAGAGACCTGTAGAGAGAGAGAGAGAGAGAGAAAGAAAGAAAAAGAGCAGAAAGAGTGGAAGATGAGGCAAGAACCGAGCTTCAGCCAGAAAGGAGGCGCAGTGGAGCCAGAGAGCTGGCTAAGGCAGAGGCCTGAGCCATGCAGACAGTGGTGGAGGCGCTGTGGGAGAGGCTGAGGCGGGGCTGGAGGCCCCAGTCAGGCGCCCAACGTACCTTGATGCCAACCTGGTACTCCCGCACCTTCTTCCGAGCTAGAACCTGTATGTGGCTGGACACCTACGGGCCGCCCCGCGCCCAGCCAGAGAGGAAAACACAGACAGTGAGGAGGCACAGCACGGGGCGGCCACAGGCAAGGAGCATCCCAGCCCTCATCTCTGGGAACAAATAAAAGTGGGGGGAACTGTGGGGCCCCTGTGGGCAGACACATCTCAGGCTTGCCAATCCTGCTCTCTTCTTGACCCTGTCTTGATCAAGAGCCTACAGGGGCTTCTGAGACCACCACATACGTTTGTACAGGTTGTTCACGGCCCAGTGAGGGCTAAAATCCTGTCCAAGCTCTGCTGGCCAAGCTATGTGCCTTGGTGTAGGGATGCATCTAACCCAGAGGAAGGGTAGCCTTTTATTTTCCCCCAAAGGGGTGACTTTTTGTCACTGGTATCCTCAGAGAATACCTTTTTCTAATTGGCACCACAGAGGCTAGCCATGGCCATCATGTTCCTGCTGGCCATCAGATTGTATATCAGGCCATATCCTCCACCAAAGATCTCCCCCGGTACCATTGCCCGAGTCCTCCTATCAACCCCAACAGCTTGCCGGCCTATAGAACCAGGCCTGGTCCTACTCCTGGTTTGCTCACACAGTTTCTTTCCCCAACATGCCTTCCTTTCCTTGGACCAATAAATGACAGTTTTCATACACAGTAGACACTCTTAATTGCGTATGTTTGGCGTCTCCTCTCCGCAGTCTTCTCTCACCCGGCAAACCTGAGCTAATCACGGCCTAGATGTGTGTGCCATGGGCTTGCACAATAGACCCTTGACATTGTCAAGGATCTGACCCTGAGCCTCAGAGAACCTAAAGGTCACTGTTTTCCCCACGAAACACAAGGGAACACATGGCACCTCTAGGCTGCTTCACACTTTCATTATCAGCAATTGCTCTTGGCTTTCTACGCAAGTTGTTTTTTACTCCCACAAAGAAAGTTTCCTCTTCTTTTAATTAGAGACTGAAAGTTACTAGAATACGTATGTGATGCTGGGCAGCCCCCATACTACTTGGTACGAGGAGAACCCAGGTGCTCCTCATGCTGCCTCATACTTACTGCACAGGAAGAATCAGATGCACATCCAGCAAGATTATTCATCACTTCATGTCATGACAGTAACCGACGTTTATTGAGCATACCTACTATTGTTCTCAGCACTTTGCCCATACCCACTCTTCTGACCTCTACAGCAACACTAAGAAAGTAATACTTATATGATTTCCAATTTACAGATGATGAAACCAAAGCACAGAGAGGTTGAGCGGCTTATCCAAGGTCGCGCAGCTAAAGGCCAGAGCTGGGAATTGAGCCCAGGGGCCTGACTCCAGGGCCTACTTGCTTCACCACCCACTTATGGTACCAGGTTTCTTTCAGGCGTTTAGCACAGAAGACCACCTCCAATGGTCAGATCTGTGACAGGCAAAGGTCACACAGGACTTAGTAATCCTAATGTCATATGTAGCTGTTTTTTAACAATGCTTGAGGCATTGTACTTGCTACTAATTGCTGTCTATACCTGCAAAAAAAAAAAAACAACCCTAAAACTGTATTTTTAAAACCAAAAGTAAAATAAAAACAACCTTGCCTGTCAGTTGGTTGTTCTTTGCAACACAGAAACATGTCTTGTCCTCAAAACCATAAGTTGGGTCCCCTTTTAAGGAGATATTAGCTATCAGAGTTCTAAGAAAAAATAAAGTTAGAGGAGTGCCACCCTTGCAAAATAACAGAGGCCAGTGGTTTTGAAAATTCTAGGCTTGCCTATAGCTGGTTTTCTTGATAATTATTTTATAATTTTATGTTATAATTAAAATCAAACCTCATTGGCCAGTCAGCCTTTGCAGGCTATGTTGCCAGGAGCAGGTACAATGCTGGGCCCAGCACGCTGCTACCCATCTTGGGCCTCAGGTCAAAGTGATGGAGAGCAAAGATCCCTCAGCCCCTTCCCACTCTGACAAAGGCTCCTAGAAACACATCTTCTGGGTGAAGCAGGGCATGCTGAGACAGTGCCTTCTCCTGCACCAGGGATGGCTTTCTGTTTATAACGGCCGTGGTGATGACGGCAACAGCAGCAGCCAATTCTTGCACAGTGCTTATTCTGCTCTAGGTACGTGTCTTCATGTGTTAGCTAATTTCATGGATGAGGGACAAAGGCTGGGGGGGGCGAAGCACGCCCTCCCCGCAGGACTGGAGCAGGTACTCGAACCCAAGGGTCTGATCCGCGCGCCTCCTGTAGTCCCAGGCTCCAGGAAACAGGGCCCTGGACTCTCCGGATCCCTGCTGCAGCCCTAATGCCTAAAACACAGCAGTACCTCAATAATTGGCTAAGTGACTCATGCTGAGCAACATGAGCTGGCCGGGGACAGTGGTTAGTAAATGCCTGAGTAAATGAGGGAGTATTTCTGCTTCCACCATGAGTGGGTGGACAGAGAATCTACCTTTAAGGCAGTGGGGTAGGACGGGTCAGGCTTGTCATATGCATACATGGGGTCCTGGGGAGGTGGATGCAAGGTACAAAACCCATCCAGATGCCACGGAGACTAAGAGGGCTGCATGTCAGAGGCAGCCTCCACTCCTCCAGGTGTCTGCCTCCAGCCTGCCTCTCTCCTAGGTGTCCTAGGTGCAACCCACCCCAACCGACTCCCTTCAGGTTTCCTGTCACCACGCTGCTACCCTCCCTGGGCTGCAAGCCACCCAGTCATCTCTCAAATCATTTTTTTCCATCCCCACCGCCACTACCTTTACCATTGCCACTAACCAGGCCACCGTTGCTGTTGACCTAGGTCCCTGCCTCTGCCTGGCCCTAATCCACTGCCCGACTGCTCCAGGGCCAACATTCCACTCCCAGCTCTATTCCCTTCCACGGCCCTCAGCTGCCCCCAGGGAAACGTGTCCCTCAGGTCTCCAACCAAGTCTGTCACCACCGGCCCTCAGCTCTTCTGACCCCTCCGTCTACCACCCCACCCCATCCCACCCCACACTGCTGACTGAAGGCTCTTTCCTGCCTAGTGGGTTGAATCCTGTATCTACCATCCACCAGCTGATTGACCTTAAGGAAGTTACGTAACTTCCCCGTGCCTCAGTTTCCTCATCTGTAAAATGGAGGTAATTACTGTACCTACCTTGTAAGATTGCTGTGAGGATCAAATCAATTAATACGAAGCTAGCTCTGTAAGGGTTCACAATTAGTATTTGTGTATCCAACTTTCTTAGCCTGGAAGAACCCTCTCCCTTTTTTCTGCCTGGCTAAATCCTATTCCTTTTGTAAAATGCTTCTTGAGTGTCGCCTCCTCTAAGAAGCCTTCCTAGCGCTTTTTCCCTTCGCCTGCCTGGTCCAGGTTAGGTGCTTGTCCGCCAGCACACACCCCTATCTCAGCCATGCCACCCTGCTCTGCACTAATCCCTTCAACTCTGTTTCCCTGACTCGTCAATGGGCCTCTCAGGACAGTGACCACGCAGCTGCCACAGCTGCCCCGTGGGGCTTATCTGTGGCCACTGAACCAAAGGCCTTGGATGGGGTGGTGGGTGGTCAAAGAGGACAGTGGGAATGGTGACGGAGCAACTTGAGGGGGTGTGAAGTCATTAGGCGAGGGTGGGAGAGTAGGCTGGGTGAAGGGGCAGCTCCGAGGAGGTGGGCAGAGCAGTGGGAATGGCTCCGGACGGAAGGGGCTGAAGGAGGCAGCTGGGAGAGTGTGTCCGTGCAGAGGGGCCACGACATAAAGTCTCTTTACCTGTTTTCTCGTGCGAGTCTTCCCCGTCCTCAACTTAATATAGCGTGCGATCAACTCATTCCGACCTAGATTGGAGTGAGAGAAAAAAATGAGTGGGCGAAGGGGGGAGCTGGTGGCTGGAGACCGCCCCCACCAGCTGGAAACCACACCAGGGCCCTCCCCAAAACACTGCTCCTGTCCCCTCCCCACCCTCAAGGGCACAAGCAGGGCAGGCAAGGGGGGTGGGGAAGTCCCAGGCGCTCCCCCGCACAGCTTCCAGACCCGGGGGGCTGCTCGCTGGGGGAGGGGTGAGTAGGGGCAGCAGAGTAGGAGGGAGGTGGAACAATGTCAGGCAGCCAGACAGGTTTCCCTGCAGACTGACAGGGGCAGGTGTGGCCCAAGGGCGGCAGGACAGCTGGGCCCCTCATTCCCAGCCCCCAGCACTGCTTCCTTCTTCCAGGGCTTGTCACCGGCTCCAGATCTCCGAGTATATGTCCTCGTGTGTAAGTGAGGCCTGACCCAGGCGGCAGACATCTCGGTTAACGTCGCCGTGCGTGCCTGAAAGAGTCCTGGACTGGGCTTCTGTCCTAGTTGCCTTGCCATGAGCGGAGGCCCTGGACAAGTCCCGTCCCTTCTCTGGCGAAACAGGCAGGAAGGACCGGATGGTCTCCAACACACCTTCTACACTAATAGCCTGTGTCAAGATGTGTCACTGAGCATGTCACTGTGTTCTTGAGCCTGTCACCTCCATGTCACCGGTTATCAGTGTCTCTCCCGCCCTAAGAGAGACAGCCCAGCTGCCTGTCAGCCTTTGGGTGGAGGGCTCTGCTCAGCACCATGGACCCTCTGAGTGCCCAGAAGCTGGCCGGGGTCCAGGGGGCTTGCCGTGAGGGATGCTTGGGACTTGTGGCTAAGCATATGGCAGCATCCTTAGGGTGTACACCTCTTACCCCCAAATCCAGGCCCCCTGCCCCCTAACCTCACAGCCTCCCCAGATCACCACATTCTCCAGATTCCTCTTCAATGACAGAACCAGCCCCACTGCTCCTCCCTTCCTGCCTGCCCCTCTCCACCCCACTCCCTCCACCCTGTCTAAAAATACCCTTTGGGGCTGCCCCAGCCATCTGGGAGGTAGCAGTTAGGGCAGACAGCCCCTGCCCTCTGGAAGGTGCCCTGGAATATCCGCCTGCCCCATGAGTGGGGCTCTGGTGCTCGGGGCAGGTGTGGCAAGTGGGTGGGGGCAGGGGACACGGGGCAGCCCTTACCACTTGGCCCAGCTGTCTCCTTCCTGTACCCATCATGGTCCTGGATACCAGGAGAGGTCAAGCTGAGGGTTCGCCTCACTCAACTACAGGCTGTCAGGGCAGGTTAGAGGGAGTTGGCAGAGCCAGGCCCAGAAGGGTTGAGTTATCCCAAAAATGCAGCTCTGGGAGAGCCCTCTCAGGGCCGGACAAGAGGGGGACACTCCCTTCTGGAGGCAAGAGGTGGGCAAGGTGGCAAAGACAGGGGCCAGAGCAGCAGGAGAGACTTGCGAGGGAGCCTGAGGAACGAACCACTCTCCAGCCGTCTTCCCAACACAGGCCCCTGTCACACTGTGGCTTCCCACAGCCTCGCAGCCCTCCCCTCCCCCATACACAGGCGGGAACTCACCAGTGGTTAACCCTGCTCTGTGCTGGGACTCCCGCCCCAGGCCTCGCCCCTCAGGCTCCCCTACATCCTCCCAGGAAAGGGGACCCTCTCCCAGGCCTAGGCCGGAGCACGCTGGACTGACCCAGTTCCCTGGGCCCACTGAGTCCCTGGGAAACCTCCAGGCCAGCAGTGGGGAGGAGCGGAGAAGCAGATGGGGGTGTCGCACTACGGGCCGAGCTCTCTCCAGGGGAGGGGGCAAGCCTGGCTTGTTTATGAGGAGGATCCAGACACACAGGCTTGCACGCCCAGGCTCGCCCATGGCGGGCTGGCAGCCTCGAGACTTGGCCAAACCGGTTGGGTGAGGGGCAGAGAGCAGGGGGAGGGGCCAGGGAGGGCCAGGCTGCCTCCCCACGTCCCATCCAGTGTCCCCGGGGCCTCCCCGCACGCACCGTACATCTTGCCCTCGTCCGACAGGATGATCTTGCGCCGGCCGCAGGGCGGGTAGATGGCCAGGGCCTCCTGGAAGCTCTGCTCGATGTCCGGGCTCCACACGCCCTCCGCGTCGTTGTCCAGCCCCTTGTCCAGGCCCTCGGGCCCATCCTCCCGGGCCTCCCCGGGGCTGCTGCTGGCGTTCCAGCTGTTGGACGCTATTGTGCTGGTTACTCTGGGCTCTGGGCCTGAGCCCACCGGGCAGCCTGAGCCTGGGAGGGAGACACAGGGGGGGCGGTGAGGGCCAGGGTCCTCACCTGACAACCTCCCACCCTAGGGGCAGGTGCTCTGGGTGGGGTGGAGGTAACCAGAGGCTGTGCTTATCCAGCGCTATGTGACCTTGGATGAAGTACTTCACCTTTCCAGCCCCCAGTCCTGTACAACAAGGAAAGGGTCTCCTTGAGGTTGTGAGGGTTAAAACTAAATGAGACCATGACAAAGTGCCAACCACACTGCCTAGCTCATAACACTCATGAGAGTACTGGTGGTGATCAACAACAACAATAATAATGCCTTATATCTACCCAGCACTTTTGTGTGTAGGGGGAAGCACTTTCATATCCATTCAATCCTCAAATCGAAGGCAGGAAAGGCAAGCAAGGAGTGGTGCCCATTATTCAGATAAGGAAAACTGAGGCTCACAAGGTCACACTGCTGTCAAAGGCATCATGATGAGCAAAGAGCGGAGGAACAGAGCGGGCAGGGCTCAGCAATTCTGCAGCTCTCAGAGGGGCTCCTCGGCTCTCACTCTGCCAGCTCCTCCTCCCTGTCATCTGGATCCAAACCAGGGACTCCCCCAACCCTTATTCTCCTCCCAGCAACCCTGCTGAGGACCTGCTGTGGGATGAGGAAGGTCCCAGACCCATGATTTTGACTTCCCCAAAAGAAAACTTGTAAGAACCCTGCCAAGGAGCCTAAACATAGGGCAGGAAGTGCCCCAGGAATTGCAAGAGAGACGCTGGCTGGCAAGTGAGCAGCTGAGAGGGTGCCTGGCCAGCAGGCTTGCTCAACCCCACCCGCTCCTCCGTCCCACTTCCTGTTCCCGCACCTCCTGGCCCTACAGCAGCCCATAAACCACCCACACGCCCGCCCCTGCCCTGGCCCACATCACGGATGGGCCAGGGCTCTGTAAACTCTGCTTCCCTGCGCAAGCCAGGCTGGGTTACTAACTCAGACCACTCCCAGTCAGTGCCCCCAACACACACAGCCCCAAGGCTCCCCGCCTTTAGCCTCAGAATCTGCATGCCCAATGTATTACCAGGGTCCTGGGAGCCTCAGAGCCCAAGACGGCTAGATCCTGAGACTTCTCTCAGGGCTGCAGGGAAAGTGGGGGCAAGGTGGAAAGGTCGGGGACCCCCTCAGAAGCCATGGAAGGGAATTCTTTGCCCTCAGACATGAATTCCATGCCCTGCGGAAAGTGTGGGGATTCTCCGTGTGGGGCCACCTGCTTGCTTAGGGAGGCTTGAAGCCGGTCGCTAGTGCATGGGATGGGGAGGGCCTGGGGGGGCCTGAATGTCAGATGGATATAAAGTTTAGACTTAATATTACTGCTAACGACAGCACCTGCCATATGACAGGCGCTGTGCTGGAATTTTACACACAGTGATTCATTTAATCCTCACAATAACCTATGGGGTAGGTACTATTATTATTTCCACTTCACAGATGAGGAAACTAAGGAACAGAGAGGTTAAGCAACTTGCTCAAGAACACACAGCTAGTAAGTGCTAGAGCCGGCATCTGAACCCAGGCAATTTGGCTTCAATCTCTTAACCAAAAGGATGGGGCTGAGACGCTCCATCACCTGTTGCAAGAAAGATGGCCCAGCTGTCATGGCAACCACCATGAGTTGGCCCAGTGGGGTCCAGACCAGGGGGTCCCTTCAGCCCAAGTGGCTAGAGCAACTTCAAGGACCCCAACACTGCAGTAGCCTTTTTGGTGAGGCCTCCAAGACCACCAGGAATAGCTCTGCCACACCAGGGGCATCCGCTCCTGACCAGTCAGGGGGCCACACTCCTCGACTCCAGCCTGCCTCTCACTCCAGGGAGCTGTTTCCCCATCTCCATCCTCTTCTCAATCCCTGAGGCCAAGTTCTTGGAATAATAATGTGAGGGAGCAGGGACTCTGGAGGACCCAGTGGCTCATATACCAAGGAAGCTGGGACGCAGGGCCACCCCCCACCAGGTCTGACACTGCCACAAGCTACCAGAGGGGAGGCAGAAGAGGGGCTACAGTGAGCTAAGACCCCTCCCAACCGAATCCTCAACCCATTTCCCCCAAATCTTCTCCTGCGGCCCCCCTCAGAGCAGCAGAGGTCCACTGCATGGGGGGCCCTGGCAGCCCAACTTTTGAAAGCAACTTTCCTGTCTCCCCCAAGTCTCTGCCCGCCTCCCCTCATCCAGGCGGTGGCCCCCCTTCTCGGGGTGATGTCAGCCCCGCCCCGCCCCCCGCAGGAGCACTGTGGCCAAATATGGCGAACACAGCAGTGCTTGGGAGCTGGGACAGACTGGGGGGGGCGGGGCAGCCCCTGGCTGGGACGCCTGGCAGCTGGTGAGGGGGAAGGGAGCCCAGGGGGCAGCTACAAGGACAGTCAAGGAGAGAAGTGGGACCACCATCCCTTCCGCTGCCTCGTGGGCACATATCAGATTCACTTTCTAGGAACATGCGTGTGGGCAGAGGCACCGCACAGGGGCATACAGGTGACCCCCCCCCCTACACAGCCATGCACAGGGGCACATGTGTGCAGGTATGCTGTGTGGGTGTCCGGGGAACACCCAAACGAGAATATTTGGACCCCCAGGCCGAGGCACACCCATGGGCAATGGTGGGCAGGCAGCTGCCCCACGCTGGGGACTGAGCTGGGGTCTCTGTCCTGCTGCACAGGCAGGAGGGGCTCAGTGCGAGGGGTCCGGACCGGCTGCTCTGATCTTCCCAGAGTGACTGCTGTGGGATGAAGACAGAGGCTAGCGCGTGCCCACCCTCCTCTCCTCAGACCCCCAAAACACTGGGACCCAGCCTGGGGTGAGGGAGCAGGCTACAGGCTCCTCAGACAGCTGCAGGGCTGAACTGAGGCAAATGTGGGACTCAGCCATGGTGGAGGGGAGGACTCTAGAGGAGGCTGCCTGGGGTAAGATGGCAGGCCCCCTGGGATGGCAGCCCCAGTCCAGGGCAGGGTCTCATCTCCCCTGTGCAGAGAGGGGGTGGGAGGGTGGCAGGTCCGGCTCCTTGCTGACTTGCTTGCCCAGGTGTCTAGAACCTCTGCCTTGCTGAGGGGTAGGAGAAAGGAAGAAAGACCAAAGTGGGGGGCAAGGTGGGTAGAGCTTCCCACAGACGGGGTGAACAGGGAGAGTTGGAGGATGGAGTAAAGAGAGGAGGGGGCAAAATGGGCAGGAAAGGGAAAGATCGATAAACTCAGATACAGGCAGGGAGGGAGGGAGGCGGGCAAGCAGGGCAGGGGGAGGAGAGTGAGAGAGCGAGAGACAGAGAGACAGAGAGAGAGACAGAGAGAGACAGAGAGTGAGAGCGAGCGAGCTAGAGAGCGAGAGACAGAGAGCGAGAGAGCTAGAGAGGGAGAGAGAGAGAGAATATATATATATATATATATGGAGACAGACAGACAGACAGACAGACAGACAGACAGACCCCAGGAGCACAAATGACAGAAAGACCCAGACCAGGGCAGACCTAGAAAGAAGGAAAGCCATTGCTGGGGGCTGGGGGCAGCCACAACAGAGCCATGTCCAGGACATCCTCCTGTCCCACCTCCTCACAGATGACCTCCCTTCTCCCTCTGAAGAGGTCCCGTTAATACAACAGGCTGTGGACCGCCTGTGGTCTCATCTGCCTTTACCTTTGACCAGCCACACTGGCTTCCCCTCTCTCAGGGCCCTCAGCCTTCAGAGGTCACAAGGTGCCTCTGGGTGGTGGCAGGGACGGGAACTAGGGGCTGGGTGAGCACGCTCTGGGGCCCTGGAGAAGATAAGGGTCACCTTGCTGCCCACTCCTCACCCTGGGGCCAGGCCTTCTGGAATAACTGGCTGGACAGCTCCAGGGATAGAGGCCCAAGCCGGGGCTTCTGCAGAGACTTAGACCCTCACCCCCAAAGGCCCCACAGCCTCCAGACCACGCTCCCTTTCAAAGTTGGGGGATAGGCCTGAAGACTGGGCTCCCCCAGAGCCTCTGCCCTGGTGGGGAATGCAGGCAAGGTAAGTCTAGGTAGGTGCACCCCCCCATTCCTCCCCTGCACCAGCCCCACTGGGAGGACAAATTGAGGCTGGCGATTCTACTGGGTCTAGTGGCAGCAGCTGTCCACTCTTGAGGGACCCTAGCCCCCAAAGTGCTCTCACTTTGAGTAATCACTCAAAGAGTGGGGAGACAGTGAACTCAGCAGTTCCATCCTAAATTCCGCCCCCGAAACTGGGCTGGCCTGACCAGCCAGGGGGTTGAGGATGGGAGGGCAGTGGATGAGGGTTAAGGGAGCCTCCCCCTCTGCCTTTTCCCTCTTCTTCCCCACCCGCCCCAACAGCGGGGCCAGCTGTTCTCCAGCTGCCAGAGGCTCCCACCCTAGAAGTAGCCCTGCTCTGGTTGGGACCACAGAGAGGGGCAGGATGCGGATGGTGTCTGCCTCCCCCACCTCCGGTCCAAGGACCCCTGAGGGACCCTGCCAAGTGATCACACCCTGCTAGGCTGGGGAGGGACTACCCTCCTCCCTGGAGCAGGGTAGGGATTTTTACAGGAGGAAGCAATTTGCAGAGCCCACTAGGAGGGAGGTGGGGGGCCTCTCCCCTCTCTCCCGCTTATTAATGTGCTTCCAATTTGGGAATCAAGACTCTGTGCACCCCCCCCCCAATACTCAGGGCACAGGCTTCTCAGGGAGCAGAGGGGCGGGGTATCCCCCAGGCTTCCCTCTCCAAAGCTGTCCTCACTGTCAGCGACCCCCTCCCCTCCACCAGCAGAGGTTGGACTCAGAGCCCTTAAACCTCTTGCAGAGAAAAGGGGCCCAGTTCCCAGACCTCCTTTCACCCCCACCCCAACAGTCTGTCAGGTCTCATCTTGTCCCACTCCAGTGAAGGCCAGGTATCCAAGTTGGGGGGATGCAGCTAATGGGCAACTTGGGAAAGTGGGTGACAGTTCTCAATTAACATGTCAGTGCCCCGACCCCAGCCTGCCTGAACCCAAGCCCCTTGTACTCTGGGTCACCCTCTGAGCTGCTACCAGTCACTCCATCAGTCACCCCCGTTCTGAGAGTCACATGCTACTGTCATCTATAAACACAGGGGTTTCTCTGGGCCCCTCCTCGTCATACACACTGTCCTGCAGTCACTGTCACCTGCCTCTCTCCTTTCTGGGTTGTTTTTTTAAATTTTATCGTGAGAAAATATACATAACATGAAATGTACTATTTTAACCATTTTTAAGTGCACAATTCAGTGGCATGAAGTACATTTCTTGTTTTTTTTAACAGTTATCTTTTTCATGGTCCTCCACATAGACGCCACATGCATGGGGTCACAGGCCCCCAAATTAGTCACACACAGTATCCCACGCCACGTCTGGCACAGCCTGAAGGACATCGCCCACACTGTCCTACAGTCCCAAGCAATCTCAGATAGTGACCACCCACAGAGGCAGTCTCAGTCACACCCCAGTTTCTTTCGCACGCAGCACACACACACGCAGTTTCTTTCTTGTGTTCAGTTTCACATACACACCTTACTTCACGCTCAGCTTATCACAGCAGCTCCTCGGCGCATTTATGCTGTGTTGGGTATAGTCCACCATGTCACAATGGCTTCTCCCTAACACGCGCACACACATGCACACACGTTGGTTTTTCTCACACAACACAGTGTCATCACGGTCACACACACAGACCATTACTTTCTATAAACCTCTCTATTGAGACCATCTCAAATGCTGTTCACACACACATGTAAGCATAATAAGTAGTCACGCCACGGCGTCATGGCACACGGAATGTCACTCATTCCACTTCTGACACACACAGCATCATACCATCGCAGTGGCCCTCACATATGCACAGCATCAAACTCCCTCCCCGTCTCAGACACAGGCTCACGCTGATGATCGAGCAGCTTCTTTCATAAACATAACCTGTATGATGGCTGCTTGCACGTCACACACTAAGAACATCATTCACACAGCTTTTCTCACGTACGTGAAGTATCAGTCACACAGAGAATGTGAGTTTCTCTCACACACGTGAATGTTACAGTCACGGTGTCACATGCAGTTTCTCTCGTGTATCTGCCCAGCTTCACATGCGGTCACACATACAAACTGGTCGTACCTGGTTCTCTCTCACACACACACACACATCCACCCACACAGTCTCTCACCCACACAGTTTCTCTCTTACACACATCCAGCGTCATACACAGTTGCACTCTCATTTCCCTCTATCACTTCCTGTCCTTTCAGGCCTGGCAGGGAGTACAGGAAACAATCAGCACTCTAGGAAACCTCAAGGGCTGAGGCTTTGGGGATCCGCAGAGTGATAGGATTCTCGGGCCCCTGGCTGCAGTCTCCTGTGGGACCCTGAGAGGACAGGGGGAGCCCTCTCCCATCCAGTGTCCTCCCAGGAAGGGCAGCACCTGCAGACTCCCTAGGCTGGCACAACACCCAGAGGGAGGGCAGGACAGGGAAAGGCCATAGGGATACAGCCAAGTGTGATCTGCTGACCTCTGCTCCTGCTCTGACCAGAGAAGCTCTTGCCGTGGCCCCAGGGCTGCCCCAGAGGTCCATGGAGACCTGGGTCCTCAAGGCCATCCCTGGAACCCCACAGCTTCTGCAGCTCCCATGTAGCAAGAAGACAGTGTGACCTCTGAGCCACAGAAAGCTGCAGCATTTAGAACCATCATGGCGCCCTGGGGCCTGGGACCACCAGCTCCCTTCCCTATTCTCTTCACTGTGAGCAGAACCCTCTGCTCCTCCCTCCTTCCTGAGCAAAGAGGTGGGCAAGACTGATAGCTTCTGTATCCTTCCAGCTTAACACTGAGCCCCTAGGGGGGTCTGGGAGCCAGGAGAGGGGACCAACAGCCTTCCAAGTAGCCTCTGAACACCATTCATCCCATCCAACCTTGTCAGAACCTACAACCATTTCAGAGGGCAAGTTCCCCCAACTCCGCCTGGCCTCCCTGTCCCTCAACGTGTGCTGCCTGCAACCTCTTCAGCCACGCTTACCTGGTTTAGCTACCCCTCAGTCACCTCCTGGTTTGTCCTCACCTTCTTCCTTAGACTACCGGATCACCCACTCACCTCTCCAGACCCACCAGGTTCAGGTTCCGTAGTGAGAGGAGAGGGAAGGCTAACTGACGAGCAGACAGAGACTGGGAGGAGCTCAGAGAAAAGGGACTGAGAAGTCACTTATTCCAAGCGGGGAAAATGAGGCCCGAAGAGGCCCACCAAGATTACACAGCTGGTTAAAGGTATGACTGGGACCAGATCTCTAATTTCTTGACCTCCTCTGCTGATATGTTTCCTTCTGGTTTTAATATTTCCTCAACTGGCAGTATGTACTAGGGACTGCAAACCTGAGGGTGAGGGCAGGAGCAGAGCCCAGGACACACACACGCACAGGTCTGTCCTGCCAATCAGTGACCACTCTACTCAGTCATGCCCCAGCTGAAATGCACTAATTAACATTATTACTGTTCCTTCCCTAGGGGACTGGGAGAAGCCCCAAGAGATCGAGAGTCCCACTGGCTCCCAGCCTCTCTCTGAGGGGGGCGGGGGTGTGTGTGGGGGGGCATCCAGGCCCCGTGAAGTCACCTTCACCAGATATCCTATTCAATAGACAACATATCTGTCCATCCCCTGCCCACAGGGTGAGCAGCGATCCAAAAAACTATAGAAACATGTCCTGGGGTGGCACCCTTAGAAAAGGAGCTACAAAAACCTGGAAAGGAGGAGGACACAATTCCCCCCAATCTCCAACTTCTGGGGACTTTGGATTTCCCTCCTCATCACCGGTTGCCCCCAGCATTCCGGTCCAGGAGGTGTCTACACAACTTGTACACAGAACCAGGCCACCGCAGATGGGACACAGAGCCGCCATGGGCACCAGCCCCTCGGGGCTGTGTCCAGCCCCCACCCCCATCCCCTGATCTCCTGAGCTACAAGTCCAGGCCTGACCTGGCTCTGCCTCTACCTGGAGAGGGAAGACACAGAGGGAGGTGCCCCCTGAGAAGCTCTCCCCCAGGGCCTCACTCCTCCTTGTCCAGAAAGAATCTCTCAGCCCTGATCAGGGCCCCTGTCCCACAAAGGTGACAGAGTGGGGTCTCAATGACAGAGTCTTGCTAGGCTGGAAACCAGATGCTGATAGGCACTCCCGCCTTCCCTCCCCAGGCTGGGCTGGGGTAAAGGGCATGACAGACAATGGTGGTGGTGGTGATGGTGGTGGTGGTGGTGGGGACAAGCCGCCTTCCAACCTAAAGTTTAAACAAGGGCTCTGAGGATGTGTGGCGAAGAGAAGGCCCCAAATCCAGCCCCCTTTGGAGCTGGGCTCACGGCGCTCATGGCTGGAACTCTGAACCTCCACCCCGACTCAGGAGGCAGAACTGCAGGGAACTTAAGACCCCTGCCTCTCAGGGGGCACACGCCTAGAGCGCGCAGCTTAGCTCCCAGACAGCCTCCACAATCCAGCGCAGCCGCGGGCACAGCGCGCAGGAGCCGGCCTGGGCGCCGGGAGGCCCGGCCCAAGGCCTGCGTGGATCTGGGGCCCGGCGGGCTCCGGGAGAGCGCGAGTCGGGAGTCCAAAGGGCGGCGAGGCCCGGGACCGGGAGCCCTGGGTACGAGCTCCCCGGTGGCAGGCCCCTCAAAACTCTGCGGCCCCCAGACCACTGCTTTGACACCCCAAACGCGGGCACTGGGACAGGCGATGGCACCGGGGACAATCTCCCGGCTCCCCTACCTCCCCCGAACAACTAGACCCGGTCGCGGGGGGGGTAGGAGGGGTGGGCGGGGCTTCCCGGAGAGCTTTACCCCCCCTTCCCTCTAAACTTCCCGGCACCCAAATCCGGGGCTCCGGCTCAGGCTGGACAATAGCTCGGGGACCCAGCCCCCCTCGAGTGCCCCCCCTACCCATAACCAACCAACCAAACCACCTCTCCTAGCCGGGCCTCCTCCCGGCGTCCGCCCAGCTTACCTGGTCCGAGCTCGCGGGGGCGCTCCGGCCGGGCCGCTCTGCCGGGCCCGAGGGAGCTGAGAGGGGGGCCGGGAAGGGGGGTCGTGGGGAGGGGGCTGGCCGGAATGTGCGGAATGAGCAGGGCAGGAGCGGGAGGCGCCGGGCGCGGAGGAGGGAGTGAGCGGGACGGAAAGTTTGTGTTGAGGAGCCCGCAGGGGGGCGGGCACCGGCCGGGGGGGCGGGGCCGCACGGGGCCGCCCCCACTCGGCGAGCAAGCTGCTCACCCCGTGGCTTCCCGACCCGCGGCCGTTCCCGGCCTTCCTGCGCCCCGGAGCCCCGCTCCTCGCCCGCGGGTGCGACACTGCCAATCTCTCCCTGCACACCGGGCCTTAGCCCACCTTTCCAGTGCCCAGCCGGAATTTGGGGCTCCGGCCTGGGCGGGGCCAAGGGCGGAGCTCCTGCCTCCTAGACGGGTCTCCCGTCGAGGTCCGGGCCCGGGTGACGCGTCACAAGAAGCCTGGCGAAGCCGGAGCGCACGGGCCTCGGGGCTCCCTACCCCACAAACCCAGTCCCGAGCCGCCGAAGCGGAGTGTCCGCTCCCGCCCAAGAGCCCGCCACCCCCTCCCGGGGCCCAGACCCGGCCCCGCCCTGGCGGCTGCGCCCGCCCTGCCTGGACCCGGTTTGTCTGGTTCTCCCCGAGAGGCTTGTTTCTCGAATTTCTCCCTTTTCCCCTCTTCCCGGACCTCCGGGGCCCTCCCTTTCGGCCCTGCTCCCCAGGGGGGGCGTCTTGACAAGGCGAGCCCGCCGAGTTTCGGTAGGACCGGTGATGGGCGCGGGGGAGGGGACGCGGGAGTGCCCCGGGCCTGGGCGGGAGAGGGGAAGGGAGGCCTCCAGCCCGCCCTCCGGACCCCTCCCGCCTCTTCGTCCTCCGCACGCGCTGAAAAACCACTGCACCGCTTGGCCTGGGACACGGCTTTATTGGGGATGTGGGTACCCTGCCCTCGTCCCCCATCACCTACCCCCTCCTCGGAGCCAGCCCCAGCTCCTCCAAGCCCTCGCACGGTCCCGGAGGGGGTTAAAACAACACTGACTACTGCTTCTGGACAGGAAGTGACAGGAGTGCGCGGGTGTGTGTGTGTGTGTGTGTGTGTGTATGTGTTTTGAAGCAGCTCGCTCCGCGACCAGATGTGCGGCTCAAACTCCAGATGTTCTTCATCTCCGTCGGACCCTCAATCTGAGCTCCTCCCCTGTCTTGGCCTGTACCAGGCTGGGGAGTGGATGGAGGTCACCTGGAGACAGTGAGGGGTCACTCTCCGACAAGGGAGCAGTCTTCCGTGGGGGCTTTGGTGAAGGGACCCTGCAAGCCGCCACTAAATCCTTTCCCCAACCCTGGCGGGCTCTGGGAGTGCTGGGGTCACTCGCAGGCCAGCTTCCCGTCGAAACTGGAGAGGGCGATGGCGAAGGCCTGCAGGGCGCACAGCGGGTACCGGTAGTCTAAAGTGAAGGCATCCTCGGCCACGCGGCCGAACTGCAGCACGATATAGTCGGCTGTGGATAAAGACACGGGAGGGGGCTGCCCGAAATCTCCTGGGTGCCGGTCTTGGCAATCAATGCCCTCAACATTGGGGGAAATCCCCTTCCCTTGCACTGGGCCCCAATACCTAGCCATCTTCTCAGTTATTCACCTTCCACCCATCCATACCCCTCTTATCTCGCCCCACCTGCCCCACCTGCAGCTTTACCATCCATCGGACTGGAAGCCCCCTGAGGACAGGGACCCTGCCTTATCTTTTGCTGCCCAGGGCTATGCATGCAACTGCTACTTAAACTTAGGAACCTGTCAAACTTCCCCAAGCCTAGATTCCTCCCTTTCCAACGTCTCTGTTGTCTTCTGACCTCATTCCTTTTTCCCACCCCACCCCAAGTCCCATCTTAGACCACCACCAGGCTCAATCCCTTGACTAGCCCCCTGGTTCCCTTCCTCATCCAGTGCCCATTCAGCCCCTATCCCAACACCTCCCCCAGCATCCATAGGGACAGGAAGTTGCTAAAAATAACCCCAACCTCAGCAGACCAGGCTCTACCAGACATGATCTGGAGAGCAGTTATCTAAGGTCTGGGGACAGGTGACACTAAGGGGCATATCCCTAGGATGGAGTGGGAGATGAGGAACATGCTCAGTGTTAGCTGACCTTGGGAACCTAAAGTCCCTTGGGAGATACCTTTCCATGCCCAGGCTTCCTTACCCTAGTGCAGGCCTCTCCCCCAGGCTTGTAACAGGGACATTTTTACTTAATTATGTTCTGGGTACAGATTGTTTCCCTCACTCCCCAAGGGCAGGCAGGCCTTTGACCTCACTTGAGAGAAGGCAATAGAGTAGGCACTGAGAAATGCTTGATTAATATTCCCTACTCTTAAAAGGTAGCCATCTTGAAGGGGTTAGGAGCTGGGGCACTGGTGCCAGACTACCTGGGTTCTAATTCCGGCTCTACCTCTTACTAGCTGTATGACCTTGGGCACGTTACTTGATCTCTCTGTGCCAAATAAGGACAATAATAGTATCTTCCTCACAGTGTTGTTGAAAAGATTTAGTGACTCAATATCTGCGAAGTCTCAGAACAGTGCCTGGCACATAGAAAGTACTGTGTAAGTGTTAGTGAAGTAAATTTTGAGGGCCAGCATAAATGCCTGAAGGAGCTGAGAGACTTTGGGTAAGGGACTGCCTTGAGCCTCAGTACCCTCTTTGACCACAAAGGGGCCGGGCTAACAGTGGTTTTCAAACTCCAGCAGCTTAACTCTCCCTTCAACACACTTTTAACCAGAATATCCCAGTATCTACCCCAGGGCTCTGGTCAATGCTAGAATGAAGGCCTGGAATAATGATCCCCAAGACACCTGCGTGGAATATCTGAGGCTCCTGAGAGCATAGTGTCAATGTCCCCAGAGGAAGGAATGACTTTCTTAGATGTTCTGGCTTCAGGGATAAAGGACAGCTCCAGGCCAGTGTGTGTGTGTGTGTCAGAGAGAGAGAGAGAGAAAGATGGTGGGGAAAGGCCTGAGGTTGGGGTCCTGGAGGTGGGGAGCAGCCTGGTCTGGGCCCCTCGATACTCACGGTCATCGGCGTGGACTATCTGGAAGTTCTTGACCGAGGCCTGGGTGACTCGGCCTTGGAAGTTGAGGGTGTAGGAGCCGCTATCTTCGTTCCAAACAGGTGGCTTGTTGTGCAGCTCAATGAGGCTCTCCAGCGTCTTGTTCTGCCAGCGCACCAGCAGCCCATCGCTGGCCTGGGTACCGGGGGCAGTATCAGGGAGAGGACAGTTAGGCATGGCTGAGATATCTCAGACTGAAGGCGAAGGGGCTTTGGGACCTATGTGTGCCCTTGAGCAGCCTGAATGTCAGCGTCCACTCAGGGTGTCCTTGAGAGCATGCTTGGTCTCTGTGGTGTCCTTGTGGACAGGATGTGCATCTGTGAGAGTGGAGCTTTACTGTGGGATGCCAAAGGGGTTGGGGGTGGGTTGGAAAATGGAAAGTTGCCTCTGGCATATAGTAAATGCCCTGTGCCATTGGTATCCAAGGGGTCTTTGGAATGGTTCCATGCTGGCATCTGATTACAAGGATGAATCAGACATTCTAGGACCTTCGCAGTTGAACTTGGAGAGATGAACAGGCAAACAATGGTTAAAATAAAACATCCTGAAAGAGAAGTTTCTGGAAGGAAGAAGTGGTGTCTGTATGAGGGTGCCCTTGAGATATTTCTTTCGACTTTCCTTGCCACCTGTTCACATTCATGGCTTAGAGCGAGTCCACTCAAGATCATGTCCTCCAAGAAGCCTTCCTGACCCCAGGTCTGATTTACATGTCTTAGCTCCGAGCTTCCATAACGCCTTGCTCTTATTCCTACCACTGTGTTGTAATAGAATTGGATACTCTAAGGGCAGGCACCGTATTTCAGTAACATCTCTGTGCCTCAGTTTCCCTTATAACAGGGTGTTGTGAGGATTAAATAAGTTAATAGCGCAGAAAGTGTTATTTAGATCAGTTCCTGGCACCGAGTAAATGCTCAATAAATATCAGATATTGTTTTGATGGTATCTGTTGTGTTGATTTTGGATCTCCAGTGCCTGGCTTTAATAAATGATTGTAAAATGAATGAACTGAGATGATGAAGAGAGACCCAAAGCAGCACCGGGTAGTTCTTACCGAGCCCAAACACACAGGAGGCCCTGCCACTGGAGATACTTGGGTTTTTTTCCAGGCATGGAAGGAGCAAGTGTGGGACCCACAGGCTCCTCAAGACCGGGTCCCCCATGGCTGATGCCCCACTGGTGGACTGGGCCTCTGGTTATGGTGTGACTTTCCAGCAGGTAAGGATGTGTGATCAGCTAATAGGGGTATTATTTTCATTGTAAATGAGTAAAGTGACATCACTATGAGTATGGGGCATGCCAGTCATCCCGTCTCTGAAATACTGTGGGCTCAACCGACCCACAGTGCTAAGGAGCAGGGCGCAGGACTGACTTTGAAGGAAGCCACCTGTCTGCGGGACACCTGTCCATCTTACCCTATACCTACACGTATACGTAAAACAAACAAAACCAAAAAACAGCAATCTTTGCTTTTTAAATATAAGTCAAATCATGTTACTCATTTGCTCAGAACCCTACCCTGGATTCCTGTTCCTCTCAGAGTAAAAACCAGTTATACAGGTCCTATCTGGCCCTCACTCCCACCCTTCTCATCTCATCTCCCTGCAGCCACACTGACCACCTGCTGTTCCTCAAACCCACTAGGCGCCCTCCTGCCTCAGGGCCTTTGCACTGGCTCTTCCCTCTGCCTGGATGATCTTTCCCAAGATATCTGCAGGCTTGCTCCCTCACCTCTTTCAAGACTTTGCTCAAATTTCACCTTTTCAACGAGGCTCACTCTAAACACTGTATTTAATGTTAAAACACACACACACACACACACACACACACACACACACACACACACACCTCTCTCTTCCTCTGTTCAACTTTTCCTTTTTTCTCATAGCACTTATCATCTTCTAACAGACTACATAATTTACTTATTTCTCACAATTACTCTACTGTCTTGCTCCCCTAGATTGCCAGCTCATGAGGGCAGATTTTTGTTCTGTCCATTTATGTCTTCCAGGTGCCTGGAATAATACTTGGCATTCAATATATGTGTGGTGAATGGATATATAAATGGATAATTTGATGTAAACTTAAAAAAAAAAAAAGAACTCATTGTACTCATTTCAGTGAATTCAATTACAAAAACTCCTAATTCATTACACAAGCTGCCAGAATTAATTTGCACTGGAGGATGGAGTGTGCTCGGGAGGTTGGGCGAAGAGCAACCTGAGCCCTCTTCCCCCTGCTCCCCCGGAGTGAGTCATGTAGGGAACAGGACCCTCAGGGGAAGGGGCCAGGGAGGCGCAGGGCTCACATTTCGGGGCCGGATGGGGACCCTGTCGTTGTCCGCATTCATGCCAGGAATGAGGACTGTCATGCGCCGGGGACCTCGGAAGCCCAGCATGTTGGTTTCCTAGGAGGGAGATGCGCATTAGGCCAGCCCCTGAAAGGGGAGGGGCCTGCCACGGGGGACAGGTGGAGTCTCACATAGATCACAGCTGCCAGCTCCTGCCGAAGGCTCCCCACATCAGCGCTGCCTCCTCCACGGTGCGGGTTCTGCCCATTGTCAAAGACGGTGAAGCGGTTTCCTAGGAGGTTGGACCTGCAAGGAGGGTAGAGCTGGGGGCGGGGTTTCCACGTGCCTACTCGGAGACCCTTCTTCCCAGCCAAGCAGTTTTGAGAGCTCTTTTATCAAGGGTGAAGGTGTCTTAGGAAGGAGCAATTCATGTCCCCTAAAAGCATGTGCCCAGGCTTTTCCTTTTAAAAAGATGGATCTAGGAGACTGGACAGCGATCAAATCTCAGCTCCATCTCTTACTAACTGTGTGACCTTAGGCAAGTTACATAACTGGTCTGAGCCTCAACTCCCCCATCTGCAAAAGGGACATAAGGGCAGTATTTACCTAATTTGGTTGATAACAGGATTAAATGTGTTAATATTGGAAGGTTCTTAGAACTATGCTAGACACATAGATAGACCTTATTTCTTATGTGTTTGTAAAATACATAAATAAAAGAAATAAGGCTTGACTCTGGGGTCTAACCCCCACCTCTCAGATTTGTGATGAGGATTATATGAGATATATGGGGAAACATAGCACACGGTAGGTGCAAAATATGTCTTCATTCATTCACTTAGTAAATATTTATTGAGTAGCCACTATGTACCAGGTGCTAGGAATTCAACCGTGAACAAGACAGACTCTGCCCTCGTGGAATTTATGCTCTACTCCAAGTGAGGTCCCTGGACGAGCAGTGCGGGCATCACCCGGGTGGTCGTTAGAAGTGCAGAATCAGGGCCGGCCAAGTGGCTCAGTTGATTAACAGTATGAGCTCTGAGACACAGGGTCGCCGGTTTGATTCCCACATGGGCCAGTGATCTGCGCTGGAGCTGAACTGCCGCTGAGCTGCCAACAGGTGACAGGATGGCTCAGCTGGGTGAGAGCATGTGCTCCTAACAACAAGGTTGTTGGTTCGCCTCCCACATGGGAGCTGCCGAATGGCGACTGGACTTGGAGCTGAGCTAGCTGCGCCCTCCACAACTAAGATGGAAAGACAACAACTTGGCTGTTCCCCTTCCCCAATTCCCCAATAAAATAAAAATAAATGAATTAAAAAAAAAAGTGCAGAATCTACCTCCACTCCCCACCCCAGAGTCACTGAACCATTTTAATAAGATCCTCAAGTGATCTATACAAAATGTGAGAAGCCCATTTTGTATAGCCCATTTTGGGCAGAGTGTCCAGTGTGGTGGGCATTCTATCGGCACAGAATACCACAGCCCTCTTGCTGCCTGGAGCCTCCCAGCCCCACCTCAGCTTCCCGATGAAATTCTCCCCTCCTCGGGACAGATTGGTAGGGTCACTGGAGATGAGGTAATTGGCTGTCTTGCTCCGCTTCCGTTTCCTGCCAGCCAAGATGAACACCTGGGGAGAGGTGGAGACAGATGACAGGATGGGAAGAGAATCCGGGGTGGCACAGGGCGGTGGGTGAGGGGAAGAGGAAGCCTGTTTGCTCCTCCCCACATCTTGACCCTAGACCCTCCCTCAGCCTGGGTCCAGGCGCCTCCACCCCCCTTCTTTCTCCCTCTCCCTCCATCTCTCCCTTCCTACCTTTTTCTCCGTGTCCAAGTGCAGGAAGTAGGAGGGATACAGTCCCCGATCCATTCCCTTCTTGTCCCGGGTCAGTCGGCAGCGCACTGTCCGGCCCTGGGGGGCAGGCCGAAACACGAACTCCCGAGGCTCGTCCACTTCCACGGGTGGGGAGGGGGCCCTCTCCTCCTTCTGGGTGGGGCAGAGGGTGCATCAGCCCCAGAGCACTAGCTCCCCTGCCCTTAGCAGGTCCCCAGTGCTGGGACATAGGCAGGGCAGGCAGGACAACTCACCGGTTTCTGCGGGGAGAAACCAGAGAGGCCAAGCTGGAGTGTGGCTGATCCCTCACACTTCCCCAACAACTCAGCAGGCTGTTAGAAGGCCCTGGGGAGCCCTGCACTTAATTATCATTTCATTTAGCTTGTAGTTAAGAGCTCACACTCTGGAGTCAGCCACCTGGGTTCAAATCCTGGTTCTACCACTGTCTGTCACATGAGTTCCCTGACTCAGTTTTTTATTCTGAGAAGTAGGTATGCTGAGGGCTCGATCCCTGGAACAGATCTTACTTAATTTTTTTTTTGGGGGGGGGAACAGTGTTGGGGAATTGGGGAGGGGGACCAGCCAAGTTGTTCTTCAATCTTAGTTGTGGAGGGCACCAGTTGCCATCTGGCTGTCTGTTGGCAGCTCGTGGCCTCTAAGCTGAAGGCGCTGTGTTACAATCTTAGTTGCGGGTGGGCGTAGCCACCATCCCATGTGGGAGTTGAACCAGTAGCCTTGTTGTTAAGAGCACACGCTCTATCCATTGAGCCATCCAGGCGGCAGCTCAGCTCAAGGTGCAGAGTTCAGTCTTAGTGGTGGGTGTAGCCCACCAACAAACAGGCAGTCTTGTTGTTAGGAGCATGTGCTCTCACCAGCTGAGCCATCCTGCCACCTGTTGGCAGGTCAGTGGCTGCTCAGCTCGGGCGCAGCATCACTGGCCCGTGTGGGAATTGAACTGGAGGCCCTGTTGCTCAGAGCTCGTGCTCTTAAGCTAACTCTTAACCAACTGAGCCACTCGGCTGACCCCAGGCCTTAATGTATATGTACAGTTAACAAACACTCATATAAAGTCTACCAATGTGCTAGGTATAGTTCTAAGTACTTTCCAAAATATAACTCATTTAATCCTCTTATCAATATCCACTGAGGTAACTGTCTCATTTTTCAAATGAGGTAGCTGAGGCTCAGAGAGGTTAAGAAACTTATCCAAGTTCACACAGTTCATAAGAGGTGGAATTGGGATTTAATGCTGCCCAGTCTCGTGTTAGATCCAGAGACTTTAGAAAGAACTTCCTTCGTGTGGATACACTCTAAGGGGGTGAACTGAGGTGAGGCTGAAGGTATTGATTGCTGTGTTCTAAGCACATAGCACAGTGGAAGTGTTAACTACTGCTATTATCATGAGCGTATAGTATATACGCAATGTAGTAACCAGCCTCCAAGATGGCCCCCAATGGTCCTTGCCTCCTGGTATTGACACCCATGTGTAGTCCCCTCCCACACTGAATCAGGGTTGGTCTTCGTGGCCAATAGAATATGGCAAAAGTGATGGGGGTGGTCACTTCTAAGGCAAAGTCATAAAAGGTACTGTGGCTTCTCCTGGTCTCTCTCTCTTGGGCCATTCTTGGGCTCGGGGGGAAGTTGGCTGCCATGTCATAAGAACACTCAAGCAGCCCTATGGAGAGGCCTCCAGACAGCAACCATAACAGTGAACCATTTGAGAAGTGGATCTTCCATATCTAATCAAGTTTTCAGAATGACTGCAGACCCAGATGATATGTGTTTTTTTTTGTTTTGTTTTTGTTTTTTTTTTTTAGCTGAGCCATCCTGCCACCTGTTGGCAGCTCAGCGACAGCTCAGCTGGGCATCGAACCACTGTTGCTCAGAGCTCAAACTCTTGAGCGAGCTCTTAATCAACTGAGCCACTCAGCCGGCTGCCAGATGATATCTTGACTGCAACATCATAAGAGACCCTGAACCAGAACTACACTGCTAAGCTGCTCCTAGATTTCTGACTCACATAAAATAAGAAAACAAGTGTTTATTTTTAAATTTTATTATTATTATTATTTTTGGGAGAGCTTCTCTGTTGGTGAACACATGGAGATTCTGGAAGAGTGGCATGCTCAGAGAGCATAGAAGCTCAGAGCCCTTTTCTCATACCTTGCCCTGTGCATTTCTTCCATCTGGCTGTTCCTGAGTTATATCTTATTTTATTATTATTATTAAAATTTATTGGGGTGACAGTGGTTAGTAAAATTATGTAAGTTTCAAGTGTACAATTCTATAATACATCATCTATATATCACATTGTGTGTTCACCAAAATGTTTACTGTTTTAAGACAACAAATTTTGGGGTGATTTGTTATACGATAACACATAGTTAATATAATGAGTAAATAAATAAGCTAATTTTGCTCGTGGAAAAACTAATAATTTGGCTGCATCAGGTCCTAGGGTGGCCTGGCTTAGTGATCCACACCATCCCTTCTGTTGTCACAAACAGGGTTCTCTTTGCCCTCCTGTTCTATCCCTCACAAGATGGGGAGCCAAGATTCTAACCCCAACTTTCCCAACAGAGGAGAGAAGAGACCACCAGCCTGGGTGTGTGCATTGGAGGATTAAATGCTACCAGTGAGCCACTGAGATGCCCTGATGTGCTGTGATTGGCCATTTTTGCTGAGGGCAGGTTTGCACTGTGTATGAGGTGAGGCTGGTGTCAGGGAGCGAGCCCTTAGCCAGCGGGCAAGTGAGCATCTCCTCCACTCTAGGCTGCTCCAGAAGAAACTTGTGCAACACAAGACTATGTTTGGAATGTGATCTGGAGCAAGCCAGAGCTTATTCAAACTTTTCTACAGCTGTGAATTTCAAGGGTCTACTGTATTGAAGAATGTACTGCAGTTATAGTCCTCCTGGGAGATAATAAACTGGCCTTTCAATTTATACATCAGCATCTGGTGATCTTGGCTAATGTGAATCAACCTCCCAAGACCTGACCACTCCTGAACAAAGTAACAAACCCACATAGCTAAGACCAGGCCCTGCCCTCATGGTGATCTCTCCACTTGTGGAAACCAGTTTCTCAAAGACTTTTATCACTTTCTCTCTCCAGTTAAATCTCTCTCTCCTGCTTGAGTTTGTGTGTGTTGGTGCCTAAGTTTGTAAGAGCAATATTTAAAATATTTAACAACCTGCTTTGCCCATGGAGAATGTCCAAGAATGGGCACTGATAGGCCTGCAGGAGGGTCCTGGAGTCCCCTGACAGTCAGTGTTACCCCTTTAGCTGCTGGAAGGTTGGGAGTTCCTGGGTGGGTGGGGTAGCAGAAAACATTTGGGGAGCTCAGAGCAGCAGGGTAGAAATATTTTAACAGCTCGTACAGCTGGCTATCAGTCAGCTGGCGTGCCCAAGGGTGTGCACACATGTGCCTGTCAGCCTGTGTGCTCCACCTCCCTGGAACAGAAAATGTGTATCTTCATGTGGGGGCATCTCCGGCTGTGTCTGGTGGTTAGGCTGCAGCGGGGAGGGCTTCAAGACCAGATGACTTAAGGCCTGGCCCCTGAGTAGCTGGTTCCAACCTGGTGACCCACAACTGCCTTTTCTGTTCTCACAAGTCTGGTGCCTTTGTCCTCATATGCTGTCACTACAGGGGCAGCAAAGATTCCAACCCCAGGTGACTCCATGGCCCCAGCCCATAGGGCCCTACACTCTAGTTCCCTCACCCCAAACCCCTACCACTGCCCCCGCAAAGGTACCTTAGCCCCTTTCCCCTCTGAGAGCCAACCTTTTTGCCTTTTCCTTTTGCTTTGCCTTTCTGATTGCTGTTCTTGGTCACCACAGCAGCCACTTCTTCCTCCTCACCCTCTTCTTCCTCCTTCCTCTCCTCTTCTGCGCCTTTGGGAGTGCCTGAGAATGGAACAGAAACAAGCCTGTTAACCTCTTCCCCTAGTGGAGTACTTCATGGTTTGCAAAGTGCTTCTAACACTCATGTCTTACTTGAACCCTTCCCACAACCACAAGAGAATAACCCCATATTACTATTATCAGAGCCTCAGAAAGGCTAAGACACCTGCCTGAGGCCACACAGCTATTAAAATGGTGGTCAAGATGCCCCCAAGTCTTCTGACTGTAGAACCCACATTCCTTAGGGTACTACACTGTGCCTCAGCTCTCCACTCCCAGGATTGTCTCTCAACATCATGGTGCAAGAGGCCACTGCCACCCACCTTTCTTCTTCAGAGCTTTCTCAGCTGGGCCATCTGTCCCAACCAGAAACATGGCTGCTGGGATCTTCTTCTGTACACTGGCTGGGCTCACTGAGGGGTCCTTGTCAGCCTCCCCAGACCCTGTGTGTTTGGATGGGAAGAGGTCACAACCCCCACCACACTCAGAGTACCCTGTTCCTCCAGAGACCAGTCTCACCTTTCTTCTTTGTCTTTCTCGTTGTGGCCCCGTCCCCAGCTGGCACTTCCTTCTTCTTAATGCGCAGAGGTTTCACTGGGGGGACAGGGCTTCCCAGGTTGCCTGGAAATGGAGGGTGGGGGTTAGAAATAGAAAAGCCTGCTGGGGCTGAACGCCACCCTCCAACCCACGTATCATTCCTTCAGTCCCCAGGGAGGCAGAAGGCCTGACCAGGGTCCAGAGTCTGCCTTCCTCTGGGTTCTTTTCTAACCCTGAGTACAGAAAGGGCTGGACAAACACCGGGAGCTTAATAAGCAGTTACTGAATGAGTGAATGAACCCACCCCTCTCCCACAGAAAGCCCCCCTGGCCAGTTCTGCAGACATGCAGTCTTGCTTCTGCAGAGGCCCCAGCTCCTAGCTGCCTGTCCACAGGTGCCTAGGTACCTGTAGGGCGAGGTGCCCAGGCCAGGGAGCCACCATAGTGTATACTCATTCACTGATTGATTTTTACTGTAATCACTTTGATACTTTTATAAAAATTAGAACAATAATTCATACTGAGTTTAAAAAACCCCACTAAACAGAAATCAGAAAGAAAACCCAAATTCTCTGCCCTCCCTGGCTCACAGAGCGCCCTGGGCAGGGGCAGGGGAGATGATGCGGGGAGCACAAATTGATCTGTGTCCTTAAGGGGGAAGAAACCACCGGAGGAAGAAACTTTCCAGTCCAGGCACTAGGTAACTTTGATGTCTCAGCTCCAGTGTAGCAATGAGACCCCAAGTCCCTTACGGGCAGGGCGGGTTTGACCTGTCAGTGTGCTCCCTCTGTATGCTCAACACCCACCCTTCGGACTCTGGGCCTTGGCTCTTCTCTCCTTGATGTCTGCAGAAGCCTTCTGTTTAGTGGGCTTTTTGGGAGGCAAGGGGCTTTTCTCTTCCTTTTCCTCCTCCTCCTCTTCCTCGTCATGGTCCTCCTCTTCCTCCTCTTCACCCTCTGTAAGTAGAAACGCCTTATAATGGGGGCTAGGTGGGCCCCATTCTCTGGGGGGAGCCCAGACCCTCCAGATGGCTGGGAAGAGGGGAGTGAATGCCAGGGGTAGGAGGCTTCCTTTCTGCAACAGGAACGGGAGGTGGAAAGGCGTTCCAGCAACCTTCCTTAAAGAATGAGGGGGACCCCAAAGTCTTCACAGGTCTCCGAGTCCGGCAAGTTGGCTGGAGTCGGGAGGATGCTGGGGGTCTGGCAATCGTGTTCCGGGAAAACGCTCTTCTCACGAGGCCCTTCCTGTCTCTGGGGCCCTCCCCTCCGCACACGTTCCTCCGCGTGTCTCCCCGTTGCCCCTTCTCTGCTGCTCTCACTGCACCTGCTCTGCTTCGCTCCGTCCTTGTTTCTGTTTCTGACCTCGAGCCAGTCCCATCTGGGCTACCTCTGCCCCCTAGCTGCGCTTTAAGGCAAAGCCCTTAACCGCTCTGTGCCTCAGTTTCCCCTTCCTGAAAATGGGGGAAAGAACAAGAGAATAAAGGTCCTTCTGGCTCAAAGACAAAGCCAGAGAAGTGGAGGCTGTTTTTCCTTCTTCTTCCAGTTTTCTGCCTCTCTGCTCTTCCGGTGCAGCCCCTTTCCTCCTCTGAGCCCGCCGGGTACCCGCCCTTCCCTCGGGCCCTCTCACCGTCCTCCGCTCCTGAGACACTGGCGACCAGAAAAGTTTCCCGGGGGTCGCGCTTCCTGGCCGCTGGATCCCTGAGGAACTTAGCGTAGACCGTCTGCGGCGCCCGGGCCTGGGCCGGCTCCGGGGCGGGCTCCTCCCGCGGCCTCCCCCGCCGCCGGACTGAGCCGAGATGCGGGGGTCAGGCAGCGCCCGAACCCCTCCTCCGACGGCTCTCCTCAGACGCCCCCCCACCCCGCCTCCGAATCCTCACCCTGGACTCTCCCCCGGGCTCTGTTTCCACCTTCGACACCCCTACCCCGGCTTTCTTTCGTCCCTCCACACCCCGCGCCGCACCTCTGCCGCTGTCCGGGGGCCCTCTTCCCGGAGGGGGAAGGGCTCCAGAGCTCAGCAGCACCCTCGCCCGCCCTCAGTCCCCTCCATCCCTCATCCCTCACCCTGGGGGGCGCCCTCGGGCTCAGCCCCCCGCCCGCCTCCAGGTCGCCGGGGCTTGGATCCAGAAGGGCAGAGGGACTCAGGGGCCTCCGTCCTTTTCTTCTTCAACTTCTGTCCCCTGGTGGATTGCTGCAGAGTTGGGGGCCGGGGGTGGGGGGGGGCCGGTATCAAGAGGAAGAAGAAGGAAAGGGGGGCTCAGAGGGCTACTTGTCACCCTCTAATCCCTTGAGCCGCCAGAAATAACCGCGGATTATCCGGAGGGGAACTGCAGCCTCCTTCTTGGGGTGAAGAAGGGTGATCCCTCCCATGCATCATGGCCTCCTGCAATGTCCCCAAACCCAAATTCCTCCCCTGGACACCCCATGCCTCCAAACACCTCTTTCCTCCAAAGAAACTCCAGGAAAGCACCCCCAGGCGCTGGCGAGGACGGCCGCCCCCTCCCAGCTCCCTTCCTCTCCGTGGGCTTACAGTGGGGGACCTTTCCGCCTCCTTTCTGAGCAGGAGTGACGTACCTGCTTGGGGCACCGCTGGACCTCTGGGCCCCAGTCTTCCTCCTCATGTCCGCTGGGGGTAGCAAAGGAATCAATCCATCTCCTTCTCCTTTTCCTGCCCCTCCCAACCCGTCCAGCTGGGTCCCCCAGGGTTCAGGGAATCAGCTGGGGGTCTTCCAGACCTGTCCGAGGCCCACACCTCCCGGAGGGTGTCGTCCTGCAGCGGCATGGTGCATTCGCCTAACACCCCCTTTGGTGGCCAACCTGCAGCTCTAGGAGGCTCACTGCCTACCCCAGCTAATCCGGCTCAACTTCATCCCCACCCAGTGCCTGGCTCAAGAAGGTGGGGGCCTGGCAGAGCTCTGAGGGTGCTTCTGCCTGCGACCTCTGTCCCCACTAGGTCCAGTCCAGGAGAGAAGAGGCTGAACCCCCAAGTTCTCAGACCCTCAGCAGCCTGAAGGATAGCATCATTGTACCAGTCATCCCTCTCCCGCCATGCTTGGAGTGCCAACTTGTAATTGTCAGTGGTCAAAGGGATGTTGGAAGAAAACATTAGATCAGATCTAATATTTTTCATGAAAAATAACTAGAATTTACTGATATTTAATATATATGGGTTGACAGAAGTATGTGTATATATTTTATAAAGAAATGCGCTTATATTGTGGGTGTACACTTAAATATCCGTTACTGATAGGGGACATGCCTTTTTAAGATTTAGAAAGCAGGGATATAGTGTTGGTGTGATTAATACCATGGGAGAGGTTTGGTTAAGTGCTGAGGAAGGCCAGAGGACTGCCCCAAGGCTTCCTGAAGCCTGATCTAAAACTTGAAGGATGAGTAGGCATTCCACAGGAAAAAAAAAAAAGGGCTTCCTGGAAAGGGACAGCAAGATAAAGGCCTGGAGGTTGGAAATAGCCAGATATGTTCAAAAGTCTGTCATCTCAGGCGTGTTCGCCCCTGAGCCCAAGTCCCGCACTCTGCCACTTAAGAGCTGAACATCACTGGGTGACTTAGCTTCTCTGGGCCTCCATGTGCCCACTTATAAAATGGTTTTGATAATAGTACCAACTGGAAGGCATACTGTGCAGATTACATGAGACGGCAGGCAGAAAACTGCATACAGTGAGCACTCAATAACTAGTAATTATGTGCCCCTTTTCAGAGATTTTTCCCCTTAATCTGTCTCCCTAGCATTTACAACACAGCTTGACACATTGGGGTTCATGTTTTCAAAGAATTTCTTCCTTTTTTTTTTTTTAAGGATTTTTTACTGGGGGACAGTGTGTTTTTCCAGGACCCATCAGCTCCAAGTCAAATAGTTGTCTTCAATCTAGTTGTGAAGGGCGCAGCTCCTTGACCCATGAGGGGATTGAACCGGCAACGTTGGTGTTATGAGCACGGCACTCTAACCACCTGAGCCAACCGGCCACCCAATAGCGTTCATTTTATGACTGAGTAAATTAATGAGTACATTCTTTATTTCATTTGATTCTCACAAGAGTCCAATGAGATAGGCAGGGTACAGAAATTTCCCCAGTTTATAGGTGGAGAAACTGAGGCTCAGGGAGGTGAACCAACTTGCTTAAGTGTCAGCCAGATCATAATGTTGCTGAGCCAGGCCTTGAATCCAGATCTGTCTGCTGTCGGAGCTTTTGCCCCTAACCTTTGGTTATTTTATACATTCGCAAGGATTAGAGATGGGGGTTGAATGAAAGAGTCCTTCTTTTTGTCTTTCTTCATTTCCTTGGTCCACCTGACCCAGATTTGTCATAATTAATCTTTCTAAATGCTACTTCTTCAGTTGACACCTTTGCTCAAAAATATGCATTGGCTCTCTGCTGCCTGAGGTTCAGGTTAAAATGTGCTCGGTTGGCATTCAAGGCTCTCCCTGATCTGGCCCCAATCTGCCATTCTAACTACAGGGATGTCTCAAACCCTACTCTTCAGCCATATAGGTTTACGTACTGCATTTATGCTTTCTTTCCTCCATGACTTTGCTCAAGCTGCTCCCTCTTGGAATGCCCTCACTATTTCACAAAACCTGTCCAACTGTAAGTAGCTCTCAAGTCCCTGCCTCCAAGATTCCTCAGTCCTCAGTTGCCTCTGAATGTATAATAATAATAATAGTAATAATAATAACAGCAACAACATTTATTGACCACCTACTGTGTGTCGGACCCCTTGCTCCCATTCTCTCTCTCTCTCTCTCTCTCTCTCTCCCCTCACAATACTATTTATGAGGCAGACGTTAACACATTGTTATTAAAGGTGAGGAAACTCAAGGCTGAAAGTTGCTCAACAAATATTTCCTGGCCAACGATTATGTGCCAAGCACTGATCATTCAGTGATAGAAAAAAGGATGTGGTCCCTGCCCTCATGGAGTTTCCATTCTTGTGAGAAAGATAGTAAAGACCTAAATACACAATTAGTTATAATAATCTCAGCATTATTAATTGTAATAAATGCCAAGAAGGAAAAGAACTGGATTCCAATGAAAATAGCAGGTGGGATCCAGTCTGGATTTAGAAGACAGGCAAGGCTGTCTAAGGGGGAAATTTTTATTTTTATTTATTTATTTTTACAGAGTTGAAATTGGTTCTTTTATGGAAAAACTGAAAATATATTAAAAATTAAAATTAAACATTTTGGGGTTGACCGAGTGGCGCGTGGGTTAGGAGTTGGCTTGGGATGCCAACTCTGAGCAGCAGGGCCCCAGTTTGGATCCCACATGAGGGCCAGTAAGGCTGCGCCCTCTACAGCCATGAGTCGCTGGTGATGGCATAGGCTGCGGTGGGGCTGGCCAACAGCTGGTGTGCGCTTTCATGAGCTGCTGTTATCGCTGTGATCTGCCGTGATCCGCCGTGATCCACCGTGAGTGGCTGTCCATGGCCAGCAAGTGACTGCCTCACCCAAGAGGAACGCAATGATAATGGGCCAGTGACGTGACGTCCTCCACAACTAGACTGAAGAACAAAAGGACAGCAACTTGTCTGTTCCTCTTCCCCGATTCTCCAACGCTGTTCCCCTCCCCCAAATCACCAATAAAATCTTAAAAAAAAAATTAAACCAGTTTTAAAAAATCCATTCCCTGGAGTTTCTACCTCCTGCCTCTGGCCCTTCAGGGGGATGAGGCCCTGACTCCAGGGCAGCAAAAGGATGAAGGCTTTCTGCTCCTCCTCTTCTCCCATTCTATTCCCATCTTTATCTCCACAGTGGGGGTCCCCGGGAGGAACCAAACCTGGGTAGAGGAGCAGGTACCCAAGGCCCCATGACCTGGGAAGGGAGGCTTGTATGCCCCCAGACCCAAAGCTCCTTGCCTGTGGTGTGGGCATGGCAGGGCCCCTCCTGGCCAGACCCAGTTGGAGTTGGGGCTATTAGTTCCAGATCCTGAGGATGGAGTCCCAGGAGCCTGTCAAAAAATATGGAAGACTTCGCAAATTTGCGTGTCAGCCTTGTGCAGGGGCCATGCTAATCTCTGTATCGTTCCAATTTTAGCATATGTGCGGCCAAAGCGAGCAAGAGAGGGGAAATTTTAATTGAGACCTGAAGGCTTTCAGAGATGGAGAAAGAATCTTCCACACACAAGGCACAGCTTATGCAAAATGTTTCCAGGCAGCAAAGGACTTGGCACAATGGAACAGTACCAGCCCCTGGACCAGGACAAGAATGGCCCTGCCTACGACCCTCACTTCAGAGGCGTCCTGAGGATCGAAAACTCCAAACAAACACGTAACTAAGAACAACAGGGCACCTGGGCCTCAGCGCTGCCCCAGCAGACGTCACATTCTAACACTGCTCAGGCCCCAGGGGACACTTCTCCACATCGCCGGCCCACTGTTCTCCAAACCAAAGGTGTCTGCCCTGGACTGCCAGAGACATGTGGGCTGAGCCGCGGCCAACATCAGAAATTGACAGGGCTTTGGAGTGTGGGGAGAATTCAAACGGCAGAAGCTTAAGTGAAAGGAAAGATAAATTCATTTCTCAGATCTTTCCTCTCAGGTTGCATGGGTGTGATAGACACGTGCAACAAGTGTCTGTATTCTTGCTTCCTCTCATGTTCTGAAGGTTCTCGTGAATTAGCATGGTTTTCATAGCAGTGGCACTTGGCAGCTGAGGAACACTTTACCATATTCAACAATTCATATAACTGTTAAATTTGTATATATGTGGGTTTGGACATAACATGTGAACCATGGTAGCAGTTTTTCATATTGACAACTAGTAGGACATTGGATGCTATTTTGGGAATAGCTCTAAAAATATTTAATGAGATGGAATCACAATTTTCCAAACCATTAAATTTGATTAATTCTTTTTGTTATTCATTAATTATAAACTACATTTGTGTTTTAATTTTAATACATAACTTTGAATACACAGGGTGCCAAAAAAAAGTGTACACATTTTAAGAAAGGAAAAAAACTGTATTAAAATTGTAATACTGAATACTGAAAAAACTGTATTAAAATTGTAATACCGGCGG